GTGAGCGGGGATCGAACAAGTAAAAATCCTTTACACAGCTACCCTCCACAAAATGAACTGTTACCTTTCCTGCCAATGGTAGCCCCACTGCAAGGGGGGGGGGTGTCTCTTTTTCTTTTTTCCCCTCCACTGGTGGGGTTATTCCGAACTAGATAACTGTCGGGATGCAGGTAGGCTCCGACCCTCAATAAATGGAGTATCTCTGTGTGCGTGTAGTGATACTTCAAATATACTGCCATTATATTGATATGAAATGGAAGTTCCTCTCCAGGTTGTCCTGTGTTGTAAACAGATCTAGAACAACACAGCGGTACACACCAGGGAACATTCACACTCTGCGAGAATCCAGGCTGCCATAGTTCACAGGAAGGGGAGGCTGTACTTTCTCCTGTGATCATCTGGTGATCTCCACGGCTTTGGAAATGCTCCTGTGAAATCTGATGGTTTGTGATAAATGAAGAACTCTTCTATAAGTTACAGAAAGTTTGAAGATGTCTAGAAGAAGCTTCGCAGCCATATATCAGCCATTGTACCGGTTTAGCCTGACGAATGGTGTGGTTTCCAGAAGCTTTTTTGTTGATAATTTTTGGCGCGCTGTCTCATTCCCCATGGAAATTCTGTTCTTCTGTTAGCATTATGTGTTGGAGGCAATGGTCTGTACAAATCCACATCTGGAGCCAGAACAGAGCAAAGGCTTTTTATTTTTATGTTCAGCAAAAAAATAGCAGTGATTTCTTTGATGAAGAATAAAATCTGGCACCAAGTATGAGATGTACATTAAACATCTCTGCTCTCTCAATGTGTTTTCGGCCAGCGGAGGATTAGATGAGGCTCTCACAATGTCCACAGACTTCCTTGCATCATATTATCTTTCTAATCATCTAATGTGATAACAGCCTTTTGCTGTCATCACATCCTAAATGTAATTGTGTGCAGGTGTTTGGGTCAGGTATGCAGAGAACGCTTGTTCAGAACATGAAAAAGACCCGTCTAAAATGGATAGTATTATGTATTTTTTGGATGCACATATTTTGAGTTGGGGTTTACCTTACTGTCATTTTTTTTTTTTTGATGTTCCTTTTACATCCTCTTCCATATTTTAGTTGTGGTGAAATCTAGAGATCTTTCGCTTAGCCTCTAGATGGCGCTCTGAGTGGAATCGCACTTAAAGTGAACTCATGCCTAGGCTATGCTGGGGTCAGCAAAAATGTTGGCCCCACCAACACCACTTCCCTTCCCTTTTGCTCTCCCGCCATTCCATTTGGTTGCCACTGAAATGCCAATGAAGAGAAATACTGGGTGCTTCAGGGTATGAAGGAATGTTTCACTTATTTCCCTTCCAGGTGACAGTACAGTGGTAGCTCGGTTCACAAACTTAATTTGTTCCACAATTCTGGTCGCAAACCGAATTGGTTGCGAACCAAATCAAACTGATCAGACCGCGATCTCGACTAATGGAAGCCACAACCGCGTGTCCGAGCAAGGAAGATGGCTGCGGTCATGTTCGTCACCCGATGTGGAGTTTGTGAACGGAAGCAAAATTTTGCCGAACTTCCTGTTCACAAAATGAATTGTTCGCGAACAGAAGCTTTCGTGAACCGTGCTACCACTGTACTGTGGTTTGGTGATTGGGCACTCGGTGCTCTCGCATGGTTGCGGGGAAAGATAGATATAGATGTGTGTGTGTGTAATATATATATATATATTATATTAATTTTATTTTTATTTTTATTTTTTTTAGGCCAAGTTGTGACTTGGAGTTTTAGGCAGGCTAACTATTTCTTCACTCCTATTGGCTCAATAGGGGGGAGGGGCGGTTGCTTTTCCCTGCATGGGCAAGGCACAGGCTTGGCACAGGCATGTTGGTAAGGTTGTCAAGATGTAATGAGTATCCGGCAAGCATTGTACTCAATGAGTTGGCTGTCTAATAGACTTGCATTTTGAGACGGTGTTGTGCAACCACTGTGCATTGCTGCAAAGCAGAGCCCATGTATGTAATAGGCAGATATGGCTTCTCACATATACATGTTTGTTTTTTTTTTTTTTTTTTAAATTCCACTAAGCTGATCTTTTACATATACTGTAGTATCATTTTGGTGGGGGGGGAAATCCTATTTGGTGGCACGGCGTAATTCATGGAGTATTACATCTTTGCTTATTGCTAAGAAATACTATGGAGATTTCTTATTAGGACTAGATTGAGGGAACGGTGGAGAACACTGCCCATGACAGCTAATCAGATTGGTCTTCATTTCTGACTTGCATTGGAAAAGCAGCCGAAATCAAGTTTCCATGGGCAACAGAGACACTTAACACATATTTTGTAATTCAGTAGCTGTGTCTATAAGAGCATATAAATCGTACTACATTGCCAAAAGGACTGCTTAAGTGCTTGTGCAGCATCATAAATAGCTGAGCACGTTTCCTCTTTATGAAGCAGACTTTCAGACTACGGCATAATGGGGATTCTGAAAACCTGTAGCTCAACATTGAAGGTAATAACACGATACGACCCTCATAGCATCTATCTGCATTATGAAGACATCTGACCATTTGGTAGAATAAAAAAAACAAGCAGGCTTGGTTAGGATTTTAGATCAAACCGATCTTCAATAATCTTTAACAGTAACATTTTGTTAGAAGAAATGAAATATATGATTTTCTTTTTCTTTTTTTTTGGCTAAGGTAGGCACGAGCCAACCCTGTTTGGGCATTTTCCAATCCAGTGGATTTCTAGACCTTGTTTAGGCCTGTGGAGGTAGATGGTGAAGGTGCTGTGCACAAACCTTCAGCAGCTTATTAGAGGGGATCACTATAGGGAATGGACAAGGTTTTGTAGCCTGTCCAATCACTGCGGCCCTAAAGGTCCCTCGGCCAGCGCCGTCTTCCTCATAGATATTTGATCATCACAGATGGCAACGATGGTAGATTTAATATTGTTAATAATATTGTAATCTTGGATGTACTAGCATGTTCTGCCCTATGGTAACTGGTGCTGCCGACTTGTCGGCTTTGGTGCCAAAGCTGCTGGAACTTTGTGTGCCGCCAAAAATGTTCAGAGGGGGAAAAAATTCTCCAGGGGGGTATCTGTATAGGCAGATGGCAGGAGGCAGCAAGATCTTTCATCGCTTTCACTTCCTCTGCCAGAGAATAAATGAAGCTTGTGGACGACAGCAGCAGGTATCTGGTATGACGTACACGGTCTTCTCCAGTCTTCCTTTTTAAGGCCTTCAGGTTTACATGGCAGTCCAAATTTAAACTTAATCCTTGAATTGCATGCATGGCATCCTGCTGATCTGACTGGGGTACCTGTCCACCTTACTCCCTTTTGTTGGTAATCTGGCAATGTGTTGGTTTTTGATGACATGTTCACTGTGCAGTAGAAGAACTCCCTTATTTTTTTCATGTACAGAAAGCCTGAGTTATCAGCAGTGTCAGCATTAAGTTTTCTGGAATTACATTTACTGCTACCATTGTGAAATTTGAGGATGAATTGTTCCTCGGTGGCTGCAGCTACTGAGGTCTATGGGGGCTTGTTTTAAAGCTTGACTGTGGTGAATGTATTAACCTTTGAACACCCATAGCCTGGCCACTTTTCCACTTTTAATAGAACTCAGATTAATGGATTTAGGTTGGACTTGATGGACTAATGTCTTTATTCAACCTCAAATACTATGTAACTATGTAACTATGTAACTATGTAATGTAAATTGAGTGGATTTCTGACTTTAACATTGCTTTCTGTTTCCTACATAACATTAGTAGCTGACTGCTTCCAGTTGATCCTGGAATTGCTTTTGAAAGTGTAAAGGCTTCAGCTGTATTTGTATCAAAAAAAATGACCTCTTCCTGTTTTTCCCCTGCTTTAGCTAACTTTGTCATTGTTTTTATATTGTAAGTTAATATTTAATGGGACAGTGAGGGTATTAAGCACATAGACCCTGGTAAAGAGTAGACACCATCACACCCATTACTACTGTGCAGTGATCTTCACGCAGTGTTATTCCTGACTTTTTGTGTAATATGGGTCATACCAGCGCTGACAAAGTAATGATTGTGTATTGTTCCTCTTGCCTATTAAATGGTTGTCCGTGTCTTTTTCAGCCCTAAGCGGAGTACAGAGAAGCGGAACCGCGAGCAGGAGAATCGATACATTGAGGAGCTTGCCGAGCTGATTTTCGCTAACATTAACGATATTGACAACTTTAACTTTAAACCCGACAAATGTGCAATCTTGAAGGAAACTGTGAAGCAGATTCGACAGATCAAAGAGCAAGGTAAGAGGCGTAGTAAGTGCTTGAGTGAGAAAATAAGGAAGGAAAGTCTGTACAGTTAGAAGGGCCTGCTCTTATAGGTGCACTGCCAATTGGAGAATTGCTGTACCAGTCAGACCAGCTTTCCTGGTTGTTTATCACACAGCGAACTGTTGTAGCTGCTTTGCATAGGAATTGTAAATATGTAGAAATATCCTGTTCATTATTCTGTCGAGTCCACCAATCATGGTCTTCAGCGTGGTAATAAAGCTGTAGTAGTGATTTTAAGTGCAGTGTTTGTCAAGCTACTAGTCAAGGAAGGAACTCGAGCAGGCACATTTTGCGGGGCAACTTTACCGTTCTGGGATAAATGATGCTTGTTGTTTGTAGCTAGCATGGCAATAAAGACTGCACCGCATGTGTGGATAGCCTTATGTTCTAATGTTCAAAGCTGCCTTACACATCCTGACATGGTTTTCTGGCATCAATTTGAGATCCGTTTTTGTGAGGTTCAGAATTTTATGATGGATGCATTCTCCTGCATCCTCCTGACCTGCATTTGACTTGCTTCAAGCCCGTTTTGGAGTTACTATTTAAGAATACAATACCCGTTTGAAGTTAACAAAAGCCCATGGACGCCGGCCCTAGTCAGTAAGCTGAAAATCCAGGTAGCACAGCTCGTCCTTTCTTTTTACCAATTCAGCACAGAGAGGCCAAAAGAAACGGATTTCTGTACCATCAAGGCGTAGGTACAGCACTGGGAAGAAGTCCTATTCATCGATCTGCAGTCTCTCTGCTTGGCTGAATTACTTAAAGGAGAACTATGGAGTTAAGGCTTTTCCCCATAGTTAACCTGGACACAAACTAGCGTCCTCCCGTCACCCTTAGCTCAAAATACCGCAAGCTACATCTCTCGATATACTGAGACGCCACAGTATACCGCTAGCTACTGCTCACGGTATACTGAGACGCTGAAGCGGATCCCGACAATTGTGTCTGGATCCGCCCAGCTGCG